TATGATAGTTTTATTAGTAGCAATTATATTTTTAGAATTGTAAAAGTCATTAGGTCTATATAAAGACCAATAATGTATTTTATTTATCAAGAGCAATATACAGAAGTAATCAAAACGAAGTCTGATTATTTATAACATTATCATGTTTAAAACCGTTAGATAAATCTTGCAGAATTTAAAATACTATACTAAAGTTATTGTTTGAGTAAGAACTAGACCTTTTGGTTCAGAAAACTATACCTCCTGCAATTATCATGACTAGAAACTGTATTACCATGAGATATCATTTTCATGAACAGTTAATACCTTGTGCAGTTTATTTGAATAAATAACTTTGTTACTATAAGAATTTGATGTTAGAATGGGAAAAGAATAAAGAAATAAACAGTTTTAATTTAGATTTTGGAATGACTTTGTCCCTATAATTCTGTAGTTTACTTCTTTTTTTTTTGAATTGGCTTTATTTGTTTGTAGTTTACTTAACTTTTTCAAAGACTAGTACGTACAAGGATAAAAATGGTTTGTAGTTTCATCGTATACACCATAACTTCATATGGTTTATGAGAAATGGTGGAGTTGTTTTTACAGATAAAAAATGGTTGGTGAGATCAGGTATAAACCAGAAATGGAGTTGAGAGGTAAAGAAATTCATGGTTTATGTGTCACTGTTCAGATTAGAACAATGATGTGAGAAGTTCAGAAATGTTGAGTTTAGTTTACATGAAAGTTGAACTAAGGGAATATGAAGAGTAAGAGATATGTTTGAATGGTGTTGTAGGGTGTTTCACAGTGGAAGTTGTTACTGGCAAGAAAGAAAGTGAGATAGAGGTTACAGTTTTGGTGTAGTGTTATAGTGGAACTATGCATAAAGTCCCGCATTGTTTTATATAAACACAAGTTTAGTGATTATAAAACAAAAACCCACTTTTACTACCAAAAGAAAGCATGCTAAGAGCATGATTATCGGTGTTCTTTGAGAGTTCCTACACATTTATTAAAGAAATTGTATCAATAATAAATGGATATTTCACTTTTTTTATGAGTTACATGGATATTTGAGAATTGTAGATGGGTTGTTTAAAAAATTGAGAAGTGTGAAATAATATAAAAAATTATGTGGGTCCGCTCTAAGAGTATACAATCCGTTGTTAATTTAGGCCAATTGTAATCTATTAATGATTAATTTGTAAATAAATTACATTACTACATTACATAAAAAAAAGTTAAAAATAAATAAACAAATAATAATTATACAGATGGATTTTTAAAATTTAAAAGTAATTAACAGTAATTAAAAATTACACCTAGACTGTCATGTTATTAGGAAAATGAAATTTAGACCCAAACAATATGTACTTAATGAGACGTCACGGAAAGAGAAAAGTGTGATAGTACTTGAAAAAACACTTTGACACTCAAGTCAATAATTGACTGAGGTAAGAATCATAATGTTTTAGGGTTTTTACTAGTGTGTACTTGATTTGCACCACTAGAAAAACAACTATTAACGCCAGATGTAAGCAGACGCTAAAAGCGTAAAAATCGACACTAAAATGGATTTAGCATCAAATTTAGCATCGGTGCCAAGCCTTGGATAAAACATGTGAAGCTATTGCGTAGCGTCGACGGTAAAACAACCAAGGCTAGTTAGTCTCAACTAAATCGAGGCTAAGTAGATGCTACATTATTCAAAAGATGAAAAGTCAACAAATAAGTGTAGCATCGCCCAAGCTGACTCTATAGTCAACAAAGAAAAGTCAACAACTACTAGTAGTGTCGGCCTAACAGACTATAGTCAACAAATAAAAGTCAATAAATATGGACCTATATAAGAAATTATTGGTCCTATTTGTGTAACCGTCACTGCTGTTGTCAAACCAACTGTTGATGGCATTGTTTCACTAACTGTTGTTATAACCGTATTTCTATTGCCAGGAATTGGTGGAGGCATTTCTCCACTAGACTGATTAGCCATTCTCCTATTTCCTCTCTTGGGTATGTATTCGTTGGTAGTTGTTTTGCAACTTCTCAATAACATACAACACTCTTTGAGAGAAAGGAAATTAATTAAAGCATTTATGATAAAAATTGTTTTTATCAAAGTTTGTAAAAAAATAAGAAAACTTAACAACGTCCCACTGGGCATGCCAATTTATTTACCGTGAAAATTGGTAAACAACCGCTGATCTTCCAAAAAAGATTATTTTGGTTATTTGCAGGATCGATCAATTTGATCCTAGGACATATGCTAAGTGTTTCGTGAGTTTGGATAGGTTTTAAATGAAAAGGTTCGACATAATACTAAGAGTGAAGGCAGGATGGAGATAGAACTTGGTAAAAACATAGTAAAGGCAGGATGAAGGTAAAAAACTTGATAAAATTGCAAGCAAAGTTACAAGTAAAGTGCAAGATAAAGTAAAGTTGCAGTAATTTAAAAGGGTTGTGATGGTAAAGTTTGCAGAATGTTAAACGACAAGGATTATAAAGAAATGTAAAGGTTTAACTGTAATTAAAATATGGTAATTCAACGTACATTCTCAAAATTCTTTCTCACACAGCGGGTACTTGAATAAATTTGAGTGGCTTGTACTAATAAGTTGAACACACGAAATTTTACACAAATTTCCTATATTTATACTAGTAGTAAAAAGCCGTCGAACGGTTTCTTCGATCCAGGATGAGGACAAGTGTCCTCTGCATGTCCTTCGGTCCCTATCTTCATGCCACGTTGCTTTTCCTAACTGCCAAGTGAACTGCTTTTCCCTCCTTTCTTCGAATTCAAATTCACTTGCTTGCTGATACAAGAACCTTTTAGTCGAACACCACAAGACCTCTCAGTCGAAGACCACCTTTAACTTAGAAAATTCTCTAAGTGTTTTCTCCTTCTTAGCAAAGAATACTTTGACACCACCCCTTTTATAGACTCTTCTATCAAAATGTTATCTTCAGCTTAGATTTCTTCAATCTATTTTTAGCCAATAAGGCCAATATATGTGGGTGTCGAATTTAGGAGCTAACAGCCATAAATAAAAAAATAAAAAATACACTACTTTATCCATCGATTTTCAACAAAACCGAGGTAATAGCTCATAAAGATTAAATAATTAAAAGATGATAAAATATATAGTTGTTGGGATTGAAAGACGTGTCCCTCTGACTACTTTATTCCTCGGTTTTAAGTGAAATCGAGGTAATAGGTCATAAAATTTTATAAATTATAAGATGATAAAATATAATTGTTGAGATTTGAAGACGTGTCATCTAAATACTTTACCCCTCAGTTTTTCAGTAAAATCGGGGTAATAAATCATTCAAAAATTCAAAAAAAAATTAAAAGATGTTAAAAGAAGCCCACTCCTCTTTCGGGGGAGGATTTTACAGATCCAAAAGAAGTCTCTATCCATCCAAAAGATCTTCACTAATCGTGTTTATAGTGAAAGATGATGAAGAACTTGGTATGGGGAACTTTGAAGAATCTTTTGGAAAGAGATTCAAGGTTGTTTCCATCTTAGCATATCAATTGAAGTGATTGAGATTTTGGATCAGAGAAGATTTGATTGAACTAGGGAATACTTGATCAAATCAAAGATCCAAATATAGAAATTCATAGGAATCAATAGTCGGTTTTCACATACAACATCAATGTTATGTGTTGGAACCAAAATTGTTGGTGAAAATCCTCAATGTAAGGCTCAAGATGCTCTGATGCAGTTGTGCGAGATGAACATATAAGATTTGCACTACAATGTTCAAAACAGTTATAAAATAATGGAGATAGAGCGAGTTATGAAAGATAAATATATTTTTTGCTCCATAGAAGATATTTATGTAGTGGACGATTTTAGGTTTTACTTACGTCGAACCTAATGTTAGCCCAAAACGTAAATTGTTTTAGATTATATTATTCTTAAATTCTTGTATATAGTATAAACTATTTAAGTAATATTTATCCACCGTATGTATTCCACTTTTTGAATATTTAAGTTTAACATTTATACTATAAAATTGGTCTTAAGTTGCACTAACATATCATATGAGTGGTAAACATGCATGTCCGTTCTGTTTAGACTCGTATCACAAAAATTTGTATAAAAATTTAGTATGACAGAACAACCGTAGTTAAGAATACATATTTAAAATCTTAAGTGCGGGTGGAACGGAACAAACTTGTAAGCAATACTACACTTTTTAAACGTAAGAAAAATTGTTAATATCCACCCAAACAAAAGTCTGTAAAAGATTATATGAGATGGAACAAACACAATATACACCGTTTTAAACCCCTTTTACCTCCTCTACTCCCACAAGCCAAAGGATCCGAATCTTCACCCTAAAGACCAAAATCTAACTTATTCTCTCAAGTTGAAATAGCAACCCCACACGGTGCAGCAACCGTTCAATTTAAATATGTTTGTCACAATGTTTATAAACTTTTAAAAGTTGGCACTAGCCAATGGATTTGATTGGATTAACTAGTTAGATACTTAGATGTTTTCTTTATGATATGTATAAATCAATATGAATTGTGTTATTTAGTACGAATAAATTGAAGAAGAAATATTAAAATAGACATATGTCATTATTTTAGGAAAAATTTTAATTTATTTTAAATTTAATTTTTATTTTAATAGAGATCATGAAGATAATAATGATAATGAATGGTCGAGATTATTCTTCTGTTTATTGTTTTTAATTTTTTGTTAACAATAAACATTTTTCAATAAATATATAATTTAATAATCAATTTATTGAAGTTATGTCAGTTATAAGATCAACTATTGAAAAAGCCATTCATTATAAAAAAAGTCATTATAATAAAAAAGCTTTCACTAGTTTGACTTGTATAATCTCGCCCACCATAATTGATCAAAATAATTCATGACTTTTCTTACACGCTTTTAACCGGAATCATTCTGCGTATATTAAATGAGGTAGATAAATATAATCATTTATTCATTAAAAAAACATAAAATTTAAGACTTGGAATTAATCAACCATTTCTATATGGGGATTAAGGACGAGGCAGCCCCGTCCTTGTCCTTCCCAAATTCTTCATCTGCAAGCTCTCCATGTTTCTCCTTGCAGTAAATGTACAACACCGTAAGAACCACAATATTACAAAGCGAAACCGTAGCAATTATTGGAGAAATCACTAAAATTAGTACCAAGCTATAACGAGTTATCCACACCAACACCAATTGCAATGACCCAAACAAGAAAGAGATTGACAAGATCAACCTCTTCATTCCTCTCACCAATTTCCAACTTCTTCTCAATGGTTCAAAACCCCAAACTGATTCCACCACCACGATAGCTTTCACTAAGCTCAAGTTAATTAACAAATACACCACAAGAGGGAGTAAAACAAGCATTAAAACCATGTAAATAAACATAGGGTGAGTTGCGAGGTTGATATCTCCAAGATAAGTTATGAGAATCAAGACAACTCCAATCAGAAGTGTTAGGAGGAAAAAGATGAAGAAGATGATGACGAATGTAACGATGTCGGTGGCGAGTAACGGGAAGAAGGAAGTGGAGATAGATTTGATGGCTTCTTTGAGTTTAATGGGTTGATTAAAATAGAAGTGGTAGACGCTGTAAGTGATGGAGATAAAGGCTCCGTGTGACAAGATTGAAGAGAAAAGGAGGAAGAGGAGAGACAAGGAGGTGATGTTGGTAGGGTTTGTGGGGGGTTGTTGTTGTTGAAGGTGTTTGAGAACGAGGTTGTAGACGAGGGAAAAGAAAGAGAGAGGTAGGAGGAAGATGAGGGAGAGAGTGAGGTAGTGACGAGGTTGAGTATATATTATGCGTTTGGATTCGGAGAGAACATCCCAGATTTTTGGAGCCATGGTCATCATGGTAGTAAAAGCTAGGTGAAGAAGAGATTATTGATGCAGAAGAAGTGGGATTGATGTGGATCTATATATAATGAGTTTTGTGGACTTATTCATCTTCTTATCTAGTTATTTTCATTTTCAGATGATAATAAATATGATGACAAGGACCTCTTACATAGACATCCTATTAAAATATTTTAGAATGACAAAGGCAAAACTAATTTAAAAGTGATTTGGCGGGATACATTTGTACATATTGTAACAAATATTTATATTTTAAAATGAAAATTTTCTTTCTTCAATTGAGTTACTCTTATTGTATTAACATGGTATTAGAATTTAATGAGACCTCGTGACCAATTTCTTCTCCATCTCTGTTTAGATTCATGAACATTTCTTCTTCTTCTTTGTTCAAATTCTTCAATTGATTCTTCTTCTCTGTTAAGATTCTTGAATTGATTTTTCGTTTTTCATGGATCACCTTTGATAATCGGGGCAATGCAGATTGTGTTGATTTCGAAGATCAAGGAGAAATTCATTGATGGTACATTTCTCAACCAGTTGCATTCAATTCTCTTTTTGCTCAATAGATTCGCTACAACATTATGGTTCTTTCATGGATTTGGCATTTATTTTCTTATTCGGTTGTGAAGTCCGTGCTATGGATTGATATTGCATCTGGTGTTTGGAAGAACCTTCAAATAAGGTTTTTGCATAGCGGTATTTTTCACATCTCCGATATTCAAAAGCTTTATCGTTTCCGCCAAGGTAATCTTGATGTCTTTGAATATTTTCCTCAATTGAAAGTGTTCTGGGATGAACTCAAAAACTATCGCCCCTTCCTCGTTGTAATTCTTCTTTTGCTTGTTCTTGTGGTGTTGTTAATTATGCTAAAATTTATCGTGAACAATATTATATGATGCAGTTCTTGAAAGGCCTCAATTAGCATTTTGCGCATTCTAAGTCTCAGATGATAATGATGAATCCAATTCCTGACATTGATAAGGGATTCTCCCTAGTTATTCAACAAGAACATGAATTGAATTCGAGCATCTCTATAGAATCTATCGAATCCACAGTTGTTGTGCCACACGCCAGTTGTTGTGCCATATGTCAATGCACGAAATTAAACAAAGGGAAATGATCTCAATCTTCTAAAGGAGTTAACAGGGTATGTACTCATTGTAAAAGATTTAGTCATACAGTGGACACATGTTTCTTAAAACCTGGATATCCATCAAGTTATAAACAAAGCAAAAGAGCTCATCTATTATAGCCAAAATTCTTCTCAAGCTCAAGCTAACAATGCTTTAATCAATGGTCATGCTGCTTTAGAAGGTTTATCATGCTCCCTTTCTGGTTTTACTCAAGAAGAGTTTCAAAGCATTTGTGCACTGCTTCAACAATTAAATCCTGATCCTTTTGCAAACACAATCATTACTTCTCCCTTTGTCATGAACTCTCACTCCTCCACAAGCATTGGTAAGAATACTCGTATGTGGATTTTAGACACAGGTTCCCCTAATCGCATCACCTTTAACCTTGACTTTTTCACTTTATATCATAGTAATGTCCCTATTTTGGTGTCCTTACGTGATGGCTCTCACATGACTGCATGTATTTCTGGCAGTATTGCTATTTCACCTACCATCACCATATACAATGTTTTATATATTCCAACCTTTCATGTAAATCTAATACCCGTTACTAAATTGACTAGTAACAATGATTCTCTTTGAATTTTCCCTCCAACCCATATCATATTTTGCATAAGTATTTGCAGCAAACGATTGCTACAACTATATTACAAAGAGGTCTTTATGTGATAGATCATAGTGGTGTTTCCTTTACTTGTAATTATGTTATTTCAAATTCTTATGAAATTTGGCATTTAAGATTAAGCCATATTTCTCATTTTGGCATGCAAACCTTAGCTAAATAGTATCCTCTCATTCCTTGTAAAAATAACACGAATCCTGTTATTCTTGCCGTTATAAAAAAAACAAACTTTCCTTTTTACACAACATTACTCATACTTATGCACTGTTTGCACTTATACATGCTGATTTGTGGGGCCCTTTTTTCATTGAATCTATTCTAGGTCATAAGTATTTCCTTACATTAGTAAATGACTTTTCAAGATTCATATGGGTTGTATTTCTTAAAACTAAATCCAAAACAAAGCATTGTTCATTTCATTGCATCGGTAGAAAATTAATTCAACACTACCCTGCAATGTTTTAGATCTGATAATGGTTCAAGATTTTTATCCTTCAATGAATTTTTTTTCTTTCTAAAGGCATTTGTCATCAAAAGTTTTGCGTGGAACCCTCCCCCCCCCCCCCCCCCCCCCAACAAAATGGTGTGATGGAACGAAAGCATCAACATATATCGAATGTAGCTAGAGCCATAACATTTCATTCTAATATTCCATTAAACTTGTGGAATTAAGTTTTCAGCATGTTGTTCACTTGATCAATAAAATCCCTAGTCCCTTACTCAAATCTAAGTTCCCTTATGAGATTATGTTTAAGACATTCCCGGTTCTTATTCACTTGAAAATATTTGGCTTTCTTTGTTTTGCCACAACACTCCAAGCCCATTGAACTTAATATGAGCCTAGAGCTAGAAAAGCAATATTCATAGGTTTTAAAGATGGCACCAAAGAATACATCTTCTATGACCTTAAGCCTCAAGAGTTTTTTGTGTCGTGAAATGTGTTTTTCTATGGAAAAAAATTTCCTTTTAAAAGTATCAGCGCAAATCCTCTAGTGTGTTTCCTTAAACCAATGGACATTTATGAGTTTCTTGATTATGATTCACCATCAAGCTCTATTCTGATTCACATGCCATTGAAACTACTTTGGTACCTGCTAGTTCCAACCCGTTTCCTGCTAATGTTTACTCTAGTTCCTTGATCCCTTAACCTCTTGGACCACACAACTCTAATCTCAACCCACCTAATCATATCATTATTGATATATGTTATTTCTCTGAAATTATGATTGACATGAATTTTGGTAAAACTAACTTTACAGCAACATGTTGAACATGTTTCAATTTTCTGTTTGGACATGTCGAAAGGGATGTCCTAACTAGAAGTATAGGACATCAGGTCGCTATAGCTGACAGTCTGGATTCAATTGTTGTGATTTTATTACTGAATATTTAGAGAATATTTAGTAATCCTATGTGGCATCCAAGATTGATAAATCAAAGATATTATGTTAGTTTTTCAAGATATTCAAACTTTCTAATTATTGAAATATTTCAGAAAACAAATGATTGAAGCCCTATTTTCTTGGAGAAGTTTTTGTATACTTTGTGCAGCCTCTTTGCTGTGTTTTTGAATCCCAAATCCAATTGGTAAAAAGGTTATAAATAGAAGTGTTTGTACGAATCAATTGCACAATCAAAGAGTTTAACAACCTGCTAATAAAATGTAAATGATATATATATATATATATATATATATATATATATATATATATATATATATATATATATATATATATATATATATATATATATATATATATATATATATATATATATATATATATATATATATATATATATATATATATATATATATATATATATATATATATATATATATATATATATATATATATATATATAGAGAGAGAGAGAGAGAGAGAGAGAGAGAGAGAGAGAGAGAGAGAGAGAGAGAGAGAGAGAGCGACACAAGGATTTGTTTAGGCATTTCACCAACCGTCCTAGCTATGGTTATGTCTGCATTGAGATAAGAATTATTACTATGCAAAAAGTTGTTTACAAGAGAAATGTAGCAATCCAACCCTATAAACCCTATGTTTGATGTTGATCCTAACAATTTCTCTTCCCTTGATCTGAGTTTGATCAAGTTACCCAACAATAACAATTTGATCCACTATCTCACGCTACTCCTTTTCAAGAAACCACTGTTATTCAAAGCTCTTCAATCTGCTGAATCCAAATTGCAAATTGTTGTCACCCAAGATTTCCAAACTATGACTGCAACTTCACCATTAGATGTTTTGCATGATGTCAAAACTAGGAAAACTTAACATTTTTGTATATAGGATGGTATATATGTGTCATATGGTGTACCCATGCATTAGAGGTCTTAGGAATCATTCAAAACTACTTTGAAATTGGTCTCAATCATGAAAAATCAGTTTATGCACAAAAAACAGGTTTATGTGTCGGCCCATACGATCTATGTATCAGCACGTGTGCTTCAATACTAAAGCCTGCAACACATGCATCATTTGTGCTTTAAAACACATGCTTATGCGCCGGACTATATGATCTATTCATCGGCACATGTATTGAATTATTAAAGCTTGTAGCTGTTGTTTTGCATGTGTCAGCCTATACGACTTTCAAACCGGCACATATTGTTTTGTCGATCAACTTTTCATAATTTTTTCATTCTGAAACTTCCCTCTTTTGTCTACAAAGTTTCACAACTATAAATACATAATTTATGCATCATTCTAACTTGATGAAACTATAAACACTTACCATTATTTCTCTTCACCTTCAACCTCCAACCTATGCATATACACTAACAAATCACATAAAATACTCTTTTGTCAGGGTGCCATCTAGGCGAGGTTTGATAACATTCAATTAGGTTTTTGTGTAACCGAGAATATTGGGTTAAAAATTATGGGGGGTTTCATCCGGAAAAACCTAGGGTTTATCCTCCAAGATATTTAGTAGATTTGGGGGTTTAGTACAAGACTTTCCAAATAGGATTATGGCCAAGTGAAATCTTTGGAGTTAGGTTAACCCAAAGGAGTAACGAGAGAATGACGAAATAAATTGGAAGTTCTTGTGTTCAATAGGTTCAATTGATAATGCGTGAAGAGATTTAGAGTTAGGGTAACCCAAAGAAGTGGAAAGATTCAATAAATCAATTGGGAACTATTGTGTCTTGGTCTTGTTGAAGATCAAAAGAAGAGAAGGGGTTGAATCAACAACAAGCGGTTAGGGTTTGTAGG